TCGTCGCGGCCGCAGGACGCTGGCGGCGGCATGATCGGCGAGATCGACGTCGCGAGGAACGCGAAGGCCGTCGTGAACGACGTGTTGAAGATGGCCTGGAGCGCGCGCGCGTAGGCGAAGGCGACGCGGCGCCGGAGCACGTCGCCCTCGCCCTCGCCGTCGCGCGGCGGGCACTCCGCGCGCGACTGGTGCCACGCGTCGCTGTAGACGAAGACGTCGTCCGCGCCGATGCCGAGGATGACGAAGATGGCGAGGATCTGCATGGGCGAGAAGTAGGTGATCTGGAGGAAGACGCGGTAGACGAAGAGGCTCAGCGGCATCGAGAAGACGATCTGCGCCATCGAGATCGTCGCGACGACCGTCGAGCCGACGTGGACGCGGATCCAGATCCAGACGAAGATCACGGAGAAGACGGCGAAGGCGAGGTCGCTGAAGACGAGGAAGTTCCACTCCTCGTACAGCACGAAGTTGGAGAACCAGAGCACGGACATCTTGGGGTCGCCGGCGCGCGCGTCCTTGTAGTAGGCGCTCCTCATGAAGGACTCCTTCATGTCGAAGCGGTCGAGGAGGTCGTCGCCGGCCTTGACCGCGTCCTCGGAGATGTCGTCGAACTGCGAGTCGCCGAGCGCGCCGATCGCGTCCTCGCCGGGCAGCGGCGTCGCGAAGGCGTAGAAGGACCGCGCGCGGCACGCGTAGCCCGCGCCGTCCCAGGGCCCCGAGTCGAGGAAGATCCCGTAGGCGTCCCGGTCCGCGTACATGCGCGCGGCGACGGCGTCGACGTCCGCCTCGGAGAGCAAGGGGCAGTCGCCGCCCGCGAGCTCCGTGACGTCGGCGGAGTAGAAGAAGCCCGCGAGCGACTGCCGCAGGGGCGCGCACTCCCCGGCGCCGTCGCCGGCGCCGGGCGCCAGGAGGCAGTACTTGTCGTAGTTTCGGCGGAGCAGGAGCTGCTCCGTCTCGCAGATCTCGCGGACGTTCTCCGGCGTGAAGAGGCCGCGGGGCGCGTCG